ACTCCTGAGACACTGAGGAAACCCCAACCTTTAAACCAGAAGCTGCTGTAAGATTTCAGGAAAGCCACATCCCCTAATAAGGAAAAGCCATTTAATAATGTGACGAGTTTCCGTTTCCCTTCAAATCATCTACATGCTGGCCCTTCTATGCTCATGACAGGAGCAGGTGATCAAGAGGTTGTGATGCAAAAGTGCACCGTTTCAATGGTGATAAGCTGCACCTCATGCTAACTGTTCCTTGTCACCGTTGCCATAATCCAAGCACAGCTTTGCCTTTGCCGTGTATTGATGATTTGATTGGAAGATGATTTAGGACACTAATGCTTGTGTACTCCCTCTTCTCCCTGTTTGTGAGCTTTATGAAAACAATTGTAACATATGAAAAGGGTTTGGAGATGAGTATTATGTGTATTAGGCCTGCTGTATAAAAACAGCCTTCCCCAATCCCCTCTGAACAAATCATGCTTTGAACCACAAATCAGATTTATATTTACGCATAGATGAGCAGTCAATTTATGCGAGACTTTGCTCTCCTGGTTCTAGTCACATACAAGCATTTATAATATCTGTATTACATTAAAAATGCTACGTTGTATTATTAAACGTAAATTCATTTTGGACACTAAAGCGCGAGTCCAAATTCATAATTCTGACTTTTTTCTTTTTTTTTACAATAATACATCAAATACCAGTTGAATTTCAGTACTTTTCAATTAGATAAAGCTTATATTTGAACACTTTTACAGAATTAGCAAAATGTTGTCTGGTAGACTTGTTTTATCTACATTGGGCCTTGTATGATTAGTGGATTGTTGACCTGAGTAGCTGTTTCTAAGATATCTTTACCTCCTTTTAACTGGTCTGTGTAATGAACAGAGAACATATGCACCTGAGCTGACACTGATTGTGTTGGGACCAAATTGTCTATATTGACTGGAAAACAGTATCTTCTTCAGATGGAGAATTCTCATAGTTCACTACATACAGTACAGTAAGTCCTTTCTTACCTTGATAATGATTTATATTTGGTTGTGCAGTCCCAAATGCTGAGATTTCTCTGATCTGAATGTGTTAACAGTTTACCTGTGTATATACACTGTAGTGTGTAATGTTTTGTTTTTATTTAATTTGCACAAACCATCTCTTGTCATATTCATGCCATTATGCAGTGATGTCTTACATTTAATTTGAGACAGCTAACCAAGACATATATTTAGTCAAACCTCCTCACAAATGCCTTCATCCTTTTAAACATTTTCAGCTTAAACAATCTATTACTGAAAATATTTTGCCTTTTTTTTCTCTCATGTATCAACATGAGAATCTCGAACTATATGCCTAAACACCTTTTAACTCTCTGTATTAATACTGGACAGCTGGGTCTGATTGTGAACGCTCCAGGTTGTTGTTCAGAACCAGATGTATGTTAAACATGTGCTCCTAAAGCTGGAATCAGAAATTCCAAGTCACTATAATCTGTTTAAATATGTAAGATCAAAAACACAAGCACTTCTAAGAGAAAATGTATTTTGCATTTCCCTCCCTTTGAGCCACACAGCATGACAGCAATTACATTTGTACCAATTTCATTTTCTCATTTTGCCTCAACACTGTAAATATGAACTAAAACGTTCATTTAATCCTTTATTTTTACGGCACTGAGACATTGTGTTGATCTTCATGAATGCAAGCAAGACCAAAACTCCTAAAAGGAGGTAATATGAGGAATATTATCATAATGCAATTTCTTTTAGAGGATTGTGTCAAAAATAATCACCTATTGTGAGTGTACTGAACCTACTACATGCTTAACAACAGACCTGTGCTGACATTATAGTGTCTTCTAGCTGCTGGTAAGATCTGTAACAGCACATTGCGCACACTGCCTCTACATCTGTTCCTTCTGTCTGTTGATTCATGCTTTACTTCCTCTGCTCAGTCCTTAGAATTGCCTTATGCAGTGGGGTGCCATTTTGTCTTTGGATGTCTGGATTATGCACAATGGCACCCCAACATCTCTCTGAGCCACAAAAGTAACTTCCAAGTGTTACGGGGTGCCTTTTACTGATAGAGACAAGGCTTTATCTTTGTATCCTCTGTATTGTTGCTAATGCTAAATCCAGATGTCACTGTATGCATTAATCCTTAACAGTATATTTGAGGTGTTTTCTTTTTCTTCTTTGCGGTGGTATTGCTTTACCTATGCCACAGCAGACTGAATGCATGTGTCGGTACATTGTATTTTAACTGAGCCAGTGCAAAGCATGTAAGCGATTTCTGAACAGGTGTGTCATTTCCTTGTTCTTGGATGGATCGCTCCATCTAATGTAGTCGAATTGCCTTTCTATCAGGTTTTGTTCTTGTAAACCAGCATAACGCTTGGATCGTATGTCAGTCAGCGCATGTTCATTTTATTGCGCTATATATGTTAAATTGTATGAAACCTTTCTCTCCTTTCATAAATGTATTCTGTCTGTCCCAAACTGTACATGTTTGTTGCCCAGTTTTCAGGAAGCATGTTCTAAATTATAAATGCTGAAGCGCCATTGAAGTTGAATTATAAGCTTTTTTTTTAGAGCTAAATTGTGTCTTTATAAATCATCTCATTTTAGATAATTAGATGTTAATTTTCCTTGCTAATACTCCTCATTAATGACCTCAATCTCCTGACAAACTTGTCTAATGTATGTGATCTGAGGGAGTATGTGTAATTCCATACTGAAAATTCTTTTAACTTAAGTTTATTCAGTGTTCAGGCAATCATATGAATCTCAAACTGTATCACTACACAAATTTTAAGTGTATTTCTTATGATATAACATTTAATGTTGGTCATAGAGAAATCCTTGGTTTACTTATGCCTCCTAGGGAATGAAGAAATCATATTGCTGGCTGAAAAATGTCACTAAGTTTTGAGTTACCATGTGAAAAGCTAACTTCATTTGTCAATAAACTATTTTGTAAATATCTAATAAATGTGTTAATTATGGAAATTGTTTTACTGTTGTGGCTACTGTTATCATTTAATTTCTTTCTTTTCATACAAAAATCAACACTTAGACCAGTTTACTGCATATTCACAAACTTGACAAGAGAGACGTTGCATTACATACTTTTATTCATTATATAAGAATACTTATTCCACTTATATCAATTCATTCAAGCTAGTACTTTTTCATTTAATATTTTTATTACTTTCTTACTACTCACTATCCCAGTTTTGATGTGCAACTATTCAACTGGAAACAAATTGCAATTTCATGAGGAAAAGTATTAGAAACGGTAGACCCAACTGGTTATTCAGTATAAGAAATCTGAAAATTATACTAGTTTAAATAGTTACAAATCCCAAATCTCTATAGAAATTAATGAAAAAATTTGCAATTTGTTAACAATTCAAATAAATACTTGTCACTGTTATGGTTAGAAGCAAAGCTAGTAGCAAATGGCCAATGTTTGCTACTAGTGACCTATTTAAAACATAGTAACCTTTGGAATAAGTGTTAGTCTAAAATGCTTAAAAAAATAAAAAAGCTGTCATCAGTTTCCTCTTGTCATTCCAAGCCCATAAGACTTTCATTCACTTCTGAAACACAAATGAAGATATTTGCTGACACGTGAGAACAGCCATGGCTTTTGCAGAAGCTGAAATGTTTGTGTGACACAAAAACAAAACATTATTTATTTTAAATTTTACAATGTATTTATGGATTTATAAAAATATATATCCAGTTGTGTTTCGAAGATTAATGAAAGTCTGGGTTTGAAAAGTAAATGATGACAGAATTTCTCATTTTTTTAATTAACACTGTTTCAGATTGGTCACCCAGGGAATTCAGCTGTTTCATATTTCACTGACAAAAATGATGTAGGATTTACATGAAACAATTTTCACACAAATAATTACCAAGTCAGTGCTGTCAAATGATTAATCACAATCGCATCCAAAATAAAAGTTTTTGTTTACATAATATGTGTATGTATTGTGTATATTTATAATGTAGGCTATATATAAATACACACACATGCATGTATATATTTCAGAAAAATATGTTGTTTCTATATTTAATATATTTATATATAATATAAATTATATGAATATAAATAAATAGACATGTAAATATTTTCAAATATATATATATACTGTATATGTGTGTATTTATATATACATAATAAATATAGACAGTACACACACACATATGTTATGTAAACAAAAACTTTTATTTTGAAAGCGATTAATCGCGATTAAAGGTGCGGTCACGCCATATCGGAATTCCCGTAATTACGAGATTCCAACTTGTAAAAAGCGTTCACGTCCTCGTAGAACTCGTAATTACAACTTGTGAACTGTGAGTTTTCTGAGAGCTACGACTTGTACCACGTGACCGCTGTACCATCTGGCCACCGCAGTCTCTGTTTAGGCGTTGATAGTGCGATAGTGCATAGTCTGAGGACGTGAACAGCTCTGAGTAGAATTTACGAAATTACGGTAATTACGATATGGCGTGAACGCAGCAGCATAATTGTTCGACCGCACTACAAAAAATGCCAAGAAACACATTACATTAAACTTGAAATTGTGAGGAAAGACTGAAATAGTATTTCTTGTACAAAGTGGACCAATAAACTCATCTTTAATTTACAACTTGTGACAAATTGTGTACATTATCCCTTATCGTTACATGTCTATTGAATAGTTACAGTACTTCTAAATGTATTTACCAGAAATTAAAAACAGGTTGGCCTGATAGATTGTACTTATAAAATGATAAATTGCTGTATGCTGAGCACGTTTGTAAACTGTGGCGTTGTTCCTGGACAGCAACTGAAACTAGGGCAACTCCCAAGCAGCCAGTTTTGCAAGTTAGAGAGGGAAATCCACACTTATGCCTTGCCATGCATGCTTGGCTTGCATAATTTTCTTTTCACGTGTAGGGGGAGTGGAGTCAGAGGTAAATAGGTTCACAGCTCGCCCGTCTAAACATGTCAATGTGCCCTGGTCTTGATGTTCCGACAGCTGCTGCAAACTTGTTCGCTGGTGGAAGCCGCAGGATGTTGATAAACATCCTGCACCAACTCAATTAAACGAATGTGCAGAAGAGTTTCAAACGTCTGGACCAGCTCAAGCGATTGCAGAAGAGTTGAATGGGGAAAGTTTGGACCGTGTTTGCGGTTGTTTTATAAAATGGTAAGTGCCTTTATTTAGTACCACTTTGAGTGGTTTTTCAAACATCTGGTTTCAACAAGCGAATGGCGTGCACTGGTGAATTTATATTCCGTTGTTAAAAGAAAAACAACTTTTAAACAACAATTAAACGTTCTCCGTTTTCTTACTTTATTATTATAAGTAATTATTAATTTTCTTACGATTTGACGCATTCTTTTAAAGACAAAGAATACATCTCTAATAACAACAACAATATTAATATATTGAGTTTTAACTATGCCAAATGTAATATTTTGCGATTATTTTTTAATCTTCTAAAAACTCTCTAAGGTAACCTATTTGATAATTAGGCAAATTATGACAAGATTTGCAGGTGCAAAATGTAATAATATTATGTAATATTAATATTAATGGGGGACTATTTTGGTTGTGTTGCTTTCTACACATAAAATTATTTGCTATACTGACGAAGCATAGCCTACTTTAAATATAGGAAGAGGAGAGTAAATAATCCCAGAAATCAACAGTTAGACAATTAGACAAACCTACCTTCAAAAAAATCTGTTGAGTTGATGAGTGTTTTTCATGATGCATTGAAATAACGTGCAATTGGTGCTGTTCCCACAGTCGACTGATATCTAGATTAGAAGAGTCATAAACTACAGTACAAGTTCAGTTGCATAATAAGAGGGGAAAAACTGTTATCATCTTATCCTGACTGTGTACATTGTGTACATGGCCACATTTTATTGTTTTTACTGTAGCTCTTCGTGGCTTCTAAAACTGGATGGTATTTAAGGAAAAAAGCCACTTTTTAATTGGGACATAGGGGTCAGAAGGGTCAGGAAGGTGGACTGCAAGGATTCAAGTTAATATGGCAACCCGTCAGCTTAACTGGGCTCTCTCTCATAAACACTTCCCATGAATGCAGTCATGCATCATTTCACTTTTCACTGTGAATCATTTGTAAGAGCAAAAAGGAGCCCCAAACCCTGGAAGATGTCACATTTTCTGAGTACTTACAGAACATGTCCATCACCCATTGTGCCTGTTAATCATTTTAGCTGAGCTCGTTGCTTATTCCTGCCTGTTTTGCTGTCTGTGTCATCTTGCGCTCAGCAGAGTCACTGACCGGGCCTCACATCTGCAGAAGGAATTCCATGGTGTTAGTGTGGCGACAGAGAGGTGCAACGTGTGTTTGGGACCGGGAGTTTTGGAGTTTGAGGGAAATAAAAGCGGTGGGAAGGACAGACTCCATGGCTCAGGAAAAGAAGAAAGGAGGGGTCCTTCCTCCTGATGGAGGGTGGGGATGGATGATCGTGGCTGGCTGCTTTGTGGTAACTGTTTGCACAAGAGCTGTTACAAGGTAAGCTTTTTGGAAGACGTATGCTGTTGTTCATACCTGTGTAGAACTAGAACAGTTTTAAGCTAACTTTAGCGATAGGTGGGGTTTTTTCAGCTATAATTAAACCATAGGGTTTAACATGATGTTCAGTACCAAATATTGTCATGGTTTGTTTCTCAAATGGGTTTAACCTGTTAAATAGTGCATGTTTTTGTTTAGTACAGTACATGAGCCACAACTATATTTAGTTGAGAATTACCTAGAATGAGTCACTGGTTCACAAAGTGACAAGCGCTATCTGATGTTTCTGAGGCAGCCTTTGAGGTCAGATTACATTTGATAGACTTGTAAACAACTTTCAGGCCTTCACACATGGATATAGATAACACAGTGTTGTTTTTTTACATCTAGCGGCCTGCAACTCTTGGGTGTTTTTGCTTGGTTATGTTAACACAAGTGTTTTTCTGTAATAATATGTTTAGAGATTCTTTCTTTTTATAGTGCTTTGAAACAAGCTGTTCTGTTTAGCAGTATTTTGTATTTCCCCCTCAGGCAAGGAACGTGCTGAACTGACTATGCCGTATAATTATTTTATTGTTCAATTGAAATGTTCAAGTACATGAATGACATGGAAAGGTGTGAAATGCGAGAACCTGAAGAACAGGTCTGCAATTCCACTAATGTTGTAGGTAGGATGAAATTTCAAGCAGGCTGGTGGGAACAAAAGAGTTTATGTGACCTCTCACCTCTTTTGACCATTTCTTAAGTCCTGTTGAGATAAGTGGTAATAATCAGCTAGAGAGGTACCAGATGATGAAACTCTTTTAGAGCTTAAAGGGCAGCCGGTGCTCTTCAGATAAAAAAAAATGCCTTTTTAACCTCTTCTTTATCTTATGGATATTCTCTTCTTAACCAATTTGAAAGCTCTTATCATCCATATGTGTTATTCAAGTCCTAGAGTAAGATTTTACCCTTTGAGTCTGCAACTTGGCTTTGCTGACTGGGTTTTTTTTTTTTACTGTCTGTGGAACAGTTGACTGAAGGACATCTCCTTCTTTGATGGCTGATGGCCAGACACGTCTGTCTCAGTGGTGGAAGATGTGAGAGTTTCTGGCTGTCATACCCACACTGAGTGCTCTGACCCGACTGACCTGCATGGTGATCTAGTTTTGTTTGTTCAGGTGCAGAACAGGCACTGCAGAGGCTTGTGCCTCATTACCTCGTCTCAGCCTTTCATATCCAGGCACCCACGATCCACACGGCTGTTCGTTGTTACTGACTGTGAATGGCACTGGACTTTAAAGCGTGTTGTTAGTTTGAAGTGTCACAATATGGTTCTTCAAAGACCACAAACGTGTGTTTTGTCTGATCAGAGTTGTCTTTTTCTCTTTTCCAGATGCATCTCCATATTCTTCGTTGAGTTTCAGATGCACTTTGCAAGAGATTACTCTGGGACGGCATGGATTCATTCATTAGTAGACTGCACAACCATGCTGTGTGGTATGTAATGATCATATTGGACACTAAAGTCATTGTACATTAGTGTATCACAGTCATCATTATTGGCCTAAAGTAGGGATTCCGGCAGTTACAAATTCTCTTTTCTTGATTGGTCACACAGTTGGTTCAGAGATTTTTTGTCCATCTGAGACAATACCGTTGCATAAGACACTAAAAAAGACCTGCAGTGTGGGAGGCTGAAAACATTCTCTTGAAGTCAGCAACACACAGCGAACATCTTGAGAGGACATGTCAGTGTCGCAAGCTTGACCCAAAAAAACAGGCCTGTTTGCTTTCCTTACACCCAGTGCTGTCTGCTGTTGACAGTACAGCAAGCTTAAGAATTACATTGCTAAGGAAAGGCCGTCTTTAGGCGGTTGACTAGTAAACAAAAGAAATGCTGTTATTATTTAAAGCTTTCCAATATCGTTCAATATGTTCTCTTTTATCACAAGGCTGATATGTTTGATATGGGCCGTGCAGGAGTCTGTAGAGGCACATAGTTGCATATTATGTAATACTGTATGATGTCATGTAGTATGAGAGAGCGGCTCATTAGTAGAATATTCACAATATTACGAATATTACATTATTAAGATGATTACCAAATAAAGCATTTCCATCCCATGTGTTCAACATAAAAAATGGCCACTTCTGAGGAAACTGATGCAAAATAATAATGGAAGTTGTTGCGACTGTGACTGTTTAATTAAAATTAAATAAATTAAATAAACATTTTTAAATACTTCTTGTAATGAATGTTGTATAATGTAATATTGCAAAATGTGTAATGTAATATTAAAAATTAGTGGCCATTTAAAACACAGACAAAACAACCTGATGAAATTATGTTTGCTTAGTGGTTGGAAGCATGACACTTACTTGACATTTTTGATGTGAATGTAAATTTATTCCAGAAATGTGTTTTTGTTGAAGTTTATGCCCTCTTATTGAATAAAAAATCCACAGTCATATCTTGTTGTTTCCATCCAGCATTTTTCTCAGAAACACACAATTTATATTAAATACACAATTATTATAATTATTACAATAATTATAACAATTAATATTGTGAAATACTATTACAATTTAACATAACTGTTTTCTATTTTTAAATACATTTTCAAATTGTATTCCTGTGATTTTTCGGCAGCCATTTTTTCAGTCTTTATTATCACATGATCCTTCAGAAATCATTCTAATATGCTGGTTTGGTGCTCAAGAAACATTTCTTATCCATTTTGAACAGCATTCATTTAAAATAGAAATCTTTTGTAACTATGTAAAAGTTTTTACTGTCACTTTTAAACAAATTTTATCCATCTTTGCTGAATACAAGTATCAATGTCTATAAAGAAATTGGCCCCAAACTGTATGTATAGTAGTGGACGGAAACGCAGCTTACAGTAAATATTATTTAAAATATGATTTTTCTTATCAAATTGTTCAATATGATTTGCACAATATGTTTATTCACATGTTACTTTTTTGCAGCTCCACTCGGAAGCCTGATCGGAAATCGGTTGTCATGCCGTGTAGCTGTAATTCTAGGAGGATTCCTGGCCTCCATAGGTTTAGTCCTCAGCTCCTTCGCAACCAGTCTGGAATATCTTTACCTTACCCTGGGAGTTTTAACTGGTAAGAGCCCTAAGAATAAAACACTGACCTACATACCCATATTCTATACTTTCTATATTTACTATTCTGTATTTTATATTCTTATTTTTTAGGGCTTGGCTTCGCCCTTTGCTACACTCCTGCTATTGCCATGGTTGGTATCTATTTCTGTGAGAGGAAGGCTTTGGCCTATGGCATTGCCATGTCTGGCAGTGGCATCGGGACCTTCATCCTGGCCCCAGTAGTGCAGCTGCTAATCGAACACTACTCGTGGCGAGGGGCCCTCCTCATTTTAGGGGGCTTTGTGTCTAACCTGTGTGTATGTGGAGCTCTGTTACGGCCTATCATTCTAAAAGAAGAGGAGGCCTGTCCTCTTCCAGTAGACTCAGAGTGCGAGTATGGTGTTAAGCCACCCGGCGTTCCTACGGGGAAGGCTGTGGATGACAAATTAGAAGTGGACTCTAAACAACGTTGTCTTCAGTCCATGCAGGAATACCACTTTTTGCTCATGCCTGACTTCCTGGTGCTGGCAGGCTCCTTCCTGCTGCTGGCCAGCGGGTGCAGTCTGCCATTTGTGTACCTAGTACCATACGCGCTGGATGTAGGGATCGGTCATCAGCATGCTGCCTTCCTGATGTCCATACTAGGGGTCATCGACATCGTTGGCAACATCACATTTGGCTGGCTCACTGACAGGAGGTATGTTGTTTTGTACTGTGTTAGTATTGCATTACAGTCAAAAACAGGAATAGGTCATTTATTGACTGAGCCACATGTTGTTTGTTTCTTCTTTAACTTAAGATTTAATTATAAAAAAAAATTTCTAAGCACAGATTTTGTTTTTCAATAAAAAGCTGGGTCAATGATATTGACACTTTTCATATCTTAATATACTTGCAGTGAGCTTAGCATCAGTTAACATGAATTAACCTATTCGCTGATGATGAGCATATTTTTTATTTAATTTTTATATTTTTTGATAGGCATAAAGTCAAAAAATAACTGTCCTGATATCACAAATTCATTAAAACTACGAAATTAAAAATTGAAGAAAATAATATAAATGACAAATAAATAATAAAATAAACAGTAATTATTAGAATTTGAATACTCACTTGTATTCGTATATAGTATACGCTTGTAACATTTTCTAAAACAAGAACAAAGACAGACAACATTTTAATACCTTAGGACACACGTTTTTCGATTTAAAAAAATTTATTGTCTTTTTCTTAATTTTTCATTGACCCAGCTGTCAGTTTAGAGTTAAACTTTGCTAGAGTGTACATGTCATGGTTTCTTGTCTGATGAATGATTCATAGAGGTCAAAAAGATTAAAAAAAAAATAATGCTCAGGTTTTAGGAAAACAGACAAAGATTGTTGATTGTTTGCCTCTGATCATGCTGACTAACACTTTCTGTATCTCTCCCAGGTGTCTGAAGAAGTACAGGAATATATGCTACATGTTTGCTGTGGGAATGGAAGGACTATGCTGTCTTTTTATCCCCCTCTTGCACACATTTGTCTTGCTGGTACCCTTCTCTGTGCTCTATGGATACTTTGATGGTGCCTATGTTGCCCTCATTCCTGTTGTAACATCAGATGTTGTAGGGACAACATACCTGTCTTCAGCTCTTGGAGTTGTGTACTTCCTCCATGCTGTTCCCTATCTGGTCAGCCCACCCATTGGAGGTAAGAGCCTCAAATAATTATTTTAATTTGGTCAGTTCTAAGTTCCATTATAATAATAAACATGTTATTTTTTGTCACATTGAGTGTTGAGCTTTTATTTTCTGTGGTAATCAACAACACGCCCTAGATGCAGTACATAAAAACTATGTTAAAGATTACCTGGAATGTTCTTTAAAGAAAAACCATTAACCTCAATTTTCACTTTGTAACGACAGGTTCTATTAAAATAGTCCAATATTTGATTAATTATTAATGTACAGAGACACATTAACCATCCACACTCTTCCCATTTCACCACATTAAGTTATTTACTTGGAAGGATAAAGGTTACTTTAAAAAAAAAAAACTCTGAAGTAATTATGTGATTTGGTATTTTTTTGCATAGGTTGGTTGGTAGACACCACAGGGACTTACACGGCGACGTTCTTTCTGAGTGGGTTTGCCCTGATCTCCAGTTCTCTCCTGCTGTTCTCAGTCGCCGTCATTCGCCGTTGTCAGAGAAACCAAAAGAACAGTCTGAGCAAAGACCCAAAACTGGTGTCATGTGAAGGCAAACAAGTAGACTATTATACTTCTAAAAAAAAAGACTTGTTGATAATTATACCAGCCACTTCATAGCGTTGGGATAACAATTTGTATTTTTTTTTTTGCCTAGTTCTTTGTTTAATCAAATTTTGCTAGCATATATAGGGTCAGTAATAATGTTTAATTGACAGAGGAATTGTTTGTGTATATTGTGCCTTTTATTGGCTTTCTGTTCAAAAGAAATTCTCATCTACATTAGAAAAAAAAACACACACACACACAGATCAAGATTTTTGTATATATTTTCTCCATCTCTCAAATTTCACAGTAATAATGTGTAAGCAGTCACTGCGTTTTCCTCTATACAATTACAAATGAAAGTCATGATAACTGAAGCTCCAGTTGTAGTATGTTATTTAGGTCAGTAGAGGGCAGTGCTGATACCTAGATATCTGGACAGTCTGAACTGTTTCATTCAGAATATAAATGGTACATGTCATGGACTGACATTTTTATTAAGTTATGTATTTTGTTATGATCACGAGTTTTCTACAGCTAAGCAGTTCATCAATGATTCTTCAGATGACAAAATGCTGAAGATGTAGGTCAATATCAGTGTGTATGCATGCTACTAATGCATGGGACTAATACATCATCTTTAGAATTTGATGTCAACATTCTCAACTAAGTGTTTAGTAATAGTAAATTACTAAACTATTAGCTTATCTAACTAGTAGTAAACAGTAATCTAGTTTCACGGGATTTAAAAAACAGACTACATAAAAACAAACATATAATTTAAAATTTGTATAGTATAAAGTGTGGTTTGCCCACAAAAAAAGTGCAAAAGATTGTTTTTGTTTTTATTTTTGCATTTGTCAAAGCAATACTGGTGTAGAGGTAATGCAACTTTAATTGCACTTTAAGTCACAGTTTGCCCAAAAAAAGAAATTCTGTTATTGTTATTACATTCTTTCTTCTGTGGAACATATATGAAAATATATTGTGAAACACCAAATACATTTAGTGACATTCAAATCAACCAGCAGGGGCTCAGTAATAATAATTACCATCATAAGAATTTGTGTAAGGTAAGTAAACAGAAAAACACCCAAATACAACTACAACAGAGGAAAAACGTAGCCTGAGTAAAATATACGTCCCAAAGACATAATATGGGAAATTCAGTTCAGACCACCTTCATTTCATTAAGCAATGAAAGAGATGCTCCGTTTTGAACAAAGATATGGCAACACAGATGTTTTTTTGAAAGATTTCAATAGGCCTACACATTCTCTTAAGAGAGCTGATCAACAGTTTTCCCCATAGATGCACAATATTCTGTCATTTTAACAGCTAAATAAATCAAAACTCCGTAAGTTCTATAAAGTAAAACTTAAGAGGTAACAATAACTATTGTCATTTGTTACACAGGGTCTCCTTCACTAAGCGTGCAATTTTAAATCTATGCAAATCATCGGTGCACACTAAAAAAGGGCAGGAGACGTACATTTGTACAGGAAATCCCTTAAATGTACAAAGCTTGGGGGTATTTAGGCAAATTACCAGTTGAAGGAACTCGCTCCCTCATTTAGGATAGTCATAAACTTTTAACGTAAATGTTTCCTTAAACATAAATGTTTGTGCATACACACCTGTTTTCCTCCACACAAAAATACGCAAATGAAGATCACTGTTTTTAAACCACTACATATCCTCTTAGAAAGTATATTATTTACTTAGAAAAAAGCTCACCAAGATTACTGAGGAATTCACCATTCTCATCATTGGCTGAAGTGTCTGCATAACCCTCTGTGTCATTGAATATCTTACCCTTTTCATTATAAATAAATCCCAGTATCTCATTTCCCTTCTAATCATCTGGTTTATACTTGATACGTCCATCAGCAATTTTCTTCAGTTTCCAAGCACTTGTAGTTCCCGCCTTGGTATGTGGACCCATTGTCAAGCACTTTTTGTAGTGCTCAATTGCTAAATCCTCACATCTATTGCAGTACTGCTGGAACAGAGTGTAGTTTAAATGCACTACCTGCAGATGTTCATTCATCTCTGTAGCTGTCTTAAATGTTGTGTCAAACAGTTCCTCATCCATTTGTAGATCATTTCTCTCTCCATACTGAAGTGCAAGCTCACTCATGGCAAAGATAAAGGAAGCTTTCTGGGAAGTTGCCATTTCTAGATGGTAAATGCTTTTATCGCGGGCCTCATCTATCTCAGTCTTGTTCCGATTTTCTCGTTTTAAATTGATTTTCTTGGTCTTGTAGCACATTGCTAACTGATGATGGATGAAGCATGAATTTGGTGATATTTCAGATGCTTTATTAAGCATTTCAATGGCACTGTCTACGGATCTTTGATCCCTGAAGAATATTCCAACATATCTCATGACATGTGGATGCTCTGGAGACACATTCAAGGCTGTCTCAACCAACTTCTCAGACTCATTCTTCAGCATCTTGGAACATGATAGTTTAAGCCCAAGAAGAACTCTCAGAACATCATCATCTTATGGGTTTATGTCAATTGCCTGTCTAAGCTTCTTGATTGCAGGTGAATCCACAGTGCAAGATGTACCAGGTTCAGTACGATACAGAGCAATGGCATAACCAGCGTTCCACTCGTTATTTTCCGGATCCAGTTCCACAGCCTTCTGGAAAACTTCTGCGGCTTTGTCATAATATTTGAGAGAGAATTTAAGATAGGCCCATCCCTTCTCCCCAAGCACCTCTGGAACAAATGAAGACTCAGTTGGATATGTTTCATTTCTGAAGCTTCATCAGGTAACTTTCACAGTCTGTGTAGTTCTTCATATGGTAGTTTATCCAGGCTAAATTTCCACAGGTGACAATGAGAGTCTTGTCACAATTCTCGCTGAGGCTTTCTTTAATGAGTTTCTCAGATCTTAGTAAGTGTTTAAGTGCTTCATCTTCGTGGCCAAGGAGGAACTTGACATCCCAAAGAGCATTGTGCTCATGCAGCCCCTTCCTCCCTCCCCAGATCCAGCTCATCTTGTTCCTTTTAATCTGCTGAGCAGGTTAGGCAAGTCTACATCATCTTTTTTAAGTGAAGTGACACTCCAGCTGATCCAGCTTCATTTTTAAACTATCCTGAATTGAATTTACAAGATTAAATAAATTAGCTAAATAAAAAAAAAAGACATAATATGACATTATGCTAGTTACAAAATGCCTTCATGGTTTAATTACTTAAGATATTTTTATTAGCGTTTTTATTATTATTTTTTTTATTATCGTTGTTATTATTGTTGTTGTTTAGGCCTACTCTATAGCCTAATCATGTCCATTGGTTTCTTACCACAATCTTCCATGGTAAAGCTGTTAAACAAATAGCTGTAGGCAATTAAAACATGGAAAAATGAACAAAGCAAATCTATATGCTTCTTCCTACGAATGATCTGTTATAATTGAGTTTGAGATATTTAGTTCAATTCAGATTATTTCTAGACAGCTTTTAACAAAACACATCCTTCCAAAGCAGCATTACAAAATTTGTTTATTATGAATATAATCTGAGCAGAATATCATCAATTGAACACTGCAAATTTGTCGAGCGAGATTATAGCAAATGTGTTTTAACTGCAAGTCGCAACGAGTTGATTTCAAACTCATTTGGTTCATTTAGTTCTAAAAAAAGGACCAAATATTTAGGCTAGATTTAGAAACAAAACAGCACTCATCTCGGACATCTCTTTTCTTTTAGCCTACCTTGTGGGAAATAATATGCAAAGTGATGTGTCACAAGCTTGGTAGATCCAGCGCAGTAATTTGTTTTTGTTCCCCGAAAGAAGCGTCATAGGTATGGCGTTATTTTAATGACAAATGTCGAGAGCGCATTATTGTAGCGCGAAAGCACATTAATATAATGCGCGAGTGCGAATCTCTCCGCTCGCGCGCGGATTTCTTTTGCTCTCGCACAAAACCGGACGCGCGCGCTCAGATACACACTGCTCTCGCCCGGAGAGAGTGCACGCACTTAAAACATGTCTCTCCTCTCACTTAAACTGTGTCCTGTGCGCTCTCAAATCTCTGTGCTCATGCACTACAGATATTCATTCTTTTCGCACCTGAATCTTTAATCTTAAATCTTCTAATTTAAGACAGAACTATTTAGATATGGGTCAGATGCACTATTCCCTAAACCGATACTTACGATTTGGAGACCAAATATAACACTATAATGAATTTTTCATATTTGCCATAACATTACTACATTCTATTCTATGGGTTTAATGCATTTGCAGACAATGTAATTACATGCAACTGTCATATAACTGTATATTCACTGTTTTAGAGGAGAGTGCCATTGAATGTAGCTAATATTAAGTGGATTTTCATGAAAAAAAAAATCTAACAAAAAAAAAATTCCCAATAAATGCCCAAACAGCGATGCTATTAGAGCATTTATTGTATTATATCTTGCATCATTTACATCTATTTTTGTATTTGATGTTGATTTGAGTTGTTACTTATTATTGTCATCATACCAACTGAGAATTTATTGCAATGATTTTAAATTCAGTTCAGGTATCTGCCTGACATATTATGACATAACATTGATGTTTTATATGAAGTCTTTAGGGCCATAGGCTATAATATGTTGTTTTTAGATAAATTGCTCAGAGACCAACCAGTTGGACAGAGGTTATATGTACAAATCATCCAAGCACCCAATTCCTAGCCATTTCTATAGGCTACATTTCATTAACATTGCTAAATATTATTAAACTGGAAAGAAATTAAAGATCCAGCTTTGATTGTCAAAAGAATTCCAGGTTCAGTTCACTCAGCCAATTAGATTTCACGTAGTATTTTCATCAGTCAGTTGTTGGAGGTCTGATTGGTTTAAGCTTTATTTATATAGGACCTTTTAAAACCGTGTATACAAAGAAGCCTACTTTACAAAGACATGCATATGTGCATTTGCAGAAAAGATCAAAATACAACAGAACAGTCAATAGCAAATACTTAAACTAATAACAAAACATACTTACAGTCGCTGATTCAGAAGCGCCAGATTGTCATCATAAAGTCGGAATTAAGCCTTTTTTTTTTTTATTTTTATTTTTTAGAAATAGCCTTTGTGCACAGCACAACCCAAAAAACTGTCGTCCATAAAATGCGTTGCACAAATTCGAACATCTGGGTTGTGCTGTTCTGTTGTAAATAAATCTTAACCAATGATTCCTAATTGCATCTACTTCCGGAAGGCCAAATAAAGTGCTTTTGCTTTCGCACTGAAACACACAGCTTCTCCCTGACATGGCTGCATCAACACTACTGCTGTTCCTGAAACCATGCCTTCTTTCTTTGCATGCACATTTGGGCGGCATTATGCTAATATTGCCACATAGTGACGTAGACATGTGGGGGCGTGTTAGAACGAGCCGTTTTAGGTAGGCGTGGTTGACTCTTAACTTTTATAAAGAATATCT